AGTGGGGGAGTGGGGGGTTAGGGTTTGGGGGGGAACGAGGCCATATAGGCCAGGGGGGTTGGGGTGGGCCGGCCTGGCTGTTATCTGGGCCAAGGCCCAGGGAAAAGGGAGGGTTCGTTTTCGTTTTCGTTTTCGTTTTCTTTTGTTTGTTTTTGTTTTTTGTTTTGTATTTTTCCTTTTTCCGTTTTATTTATTATAGAGCATTTTAGCATTTTCTAAGCATGTGTTTTCTTAACTATAATTACCTATGCGAATTTTGGCACAAACCGAACATTTTTGTTTTAAAGTTTGAAAACTTTTGATGTTTGCCGCTAATTTAAATTTGAATCTGAAATGTTTTAGACTAACACGTGATTAGCATCAGTAACAGAGGTGACGTGTCATCATTAGCACAGGTTACTGTAGCATGATTATCCGGGCGTTACAGGGGGGACATGAAAGGAGCGAAGGAAAGAGAACGAAACAAGCGAAGAAAAGCTGAGTTGGCTCCGATGGAGCTAGGACGGCCCAGGCGCGTCCGCTCGCTCGGTTCCAAGCGAGCACGGGCACGACACAGGGGTAGCGGCTTCTGCTCGATCCCGTTGAGCTGCTCGACCAGGACGGCGAGGAGGCAGCAAACGGGGGAGCGGAGGCGCTAGGCGGCGGCGGCGGAGCTCCACATTTGTCCTCGGGGCCACGTGCTCTATCTGCAAAGGACACGACGACGACGGGGTTCAAAGAAGAAAAGAAGAACGAGGGAGAAGGAGAGAGGAAGGAGGAGAAGGCGGGGCGCTCAGACGTGAGGGGTCCGAACAGGAGGTGCTTGGGCGCTGGCTGCACTGCTCGGGTGTAGAGATAGGTAGAGCATGGAAGAAGCTCGCAGGTTGGTTACTATGTTCATTTTCTTTTTAGAGAATAGGATAGAGCTTAATATTTCTTTTTCTGTTCAAAGTGGAGGGGGAGAGAAAACATAGAAAATTAAATATGTTGCAGGGAGCTTGGAACTGAAAAAATAAAGTCCATGGAATTTTATGAAATGTTTTAAAAATTTGAATAGATCCGTAAATAACGAACAATGCTTATATAGAGTTGTTTTTTAGGTTTTCGTTGTGTGAGCACTGAGGCTACCGTCGGCAACACAAATGTGATGCCATGTGAAAAATAAAGGACATGGATCTATTAGGGTCTTGAGTGATGATTATTGGGTTAAGAGCAATGTGGTATTTTCTCTCCCGTTATGACGCAGGGGCTCTTTCGCGCTAGTTATCTTGAAGGAAAAAGTTCAAAACAAACCTTGAATTTGTCGGCGAAAGCTAAATCAAACCCTGAACTCTCAATCCCTGAAATCAGCACACCAAACTCTGTTATCCCGGTCTATTTTAAACCTTGAGAGGACTTAGCCGGTATTTGCTGAATTAGGCCATCCCATTTGCGGCGTCGCCCCGCGCGCGCACTGCTCTGGGTTTTTTTTTCCTTTTTCTTTTTTACGCATGTCTATCTATTCTTCATAACCAATGTACATTTTTAACGCACACATAAAAATATTTTTGATAAAATTTTGATATTTTCAAATACATTATGTACATTTTTAAATTAAATGTTTTCATTTTTTTGAATACATGCTTATGTTTTTCCAAATACATGTTCACATTTTCTTATTGAGAATAAACATTTTACAAAACTAAACGAACACTCTTTTACATGGTTTAACATTTTTAAATTTGCAGACACGTTTTTCAAACACATGCCAAGTATATTGAGTTAAGTGTAAGACACATTTTTTTTACAACACGTAAACATTTTTTCACACTGTACACACATTTTTGTTTGAAAATGTCACAAACACATTTTTTTGAAACTCGTGAACATTATTGCAATGCTACATTTTTTCGAATGTACGAAACATTTTTTTGAATCACAGAAATATTATTATACATTGTATGAACATTTGTTTGAATTGATCCGTACATTTTTTTAAACTTGCGATATTTTTTAGATGTCATAAAAAAAATTATTACAATTTGTTCAGATTTTGAAATTTGTTCTATTTCTTAAATTTTCAAAAAGCACTCGCACTTTAAAATTATGTTCAGGCTTTAGAAAATGTTTATGTTTCAAAAAGCGTTTGCACTTCAAAAATTTGTTGAGCTTTCAGAAAAGAAAAGCTCGCTTCATGTCTGGTTGGCCGGCCCAGACGAGTCCTTCACCAACGATCCGAAACATTTTCTAAAAACATCATTTACAAAATTCTAAAAACATGATTTATAAAATGTGACACAATTTTTGAAAATCCGAAACATTTTCATAGCATGTGAAAAACTGTTGAAATTCTGAACATTTTTTAGAATTGTTTTTGAAATCACTCAGTTTTTAAAAATGCGAATAGAATTTTAAAATTCCAGAAAAAATTAAAAACACAAATGGAATTGCATTTGTGTGATAAATAGAAAACAGGAATATTTTTAAAATTCTGAATTTTTTTAAAATGCGCGAATATATTTCAAAGTTCACGATTTCTTGTTGTGTTATAGTGGGCCGGCCCAAATTCTGAGTAGCAGGTTATCCCGGCCAGGATTTTCTTATTGGTAATGTGCCAAACAGGTCTAAGGTTCAAAATAGACCGGGATTATAAGTTCAGAGTGCCAATTTCTGGAATTCAAAGTTCAGGGTTTGGTTTAACTTTCGTCAACAACTTCAAGATTTGTTTTATACTTTTTTCTATCTTGAAAAAGGGAAAAGAGAGACAGTATCGGCTTAGGACAATGACATACCGTATACGGATAGACCACGACTGTCCATATGCACCCCCACCCGGAGCTAAAGCATCACAATACACCCGTCCGCCCGCCCGCGATTCCACGCAAATAAACTGTCCACTTCCACGCGCCGCCCCTACAATTAGCGCAAATTTAAATCTAGTCTGCCACTTCCGATTATAACTCAAATCAAAATCCTTTCATACTTTCCTCTCCTCGTCTAATCTAATCAAATCATTCCCTGTTCCCCTGTTCCGTGCGGTGGAGAGAGGGAGCGGAAGCTAGTGCTCCGGCGCCGCCCCTTCCCTCCGGCCCCCGGCCGACCTCCGTGTCGCCACCCACCCCGCCCCAAGACGACGCCAGCCCGCTCCCGTACATCTCCTCTCCCGCACGAGCACCGACCGACATCGCCTCCCGTTCGAGCACCACCAATCTCTGCTCCCGCACACAGTGCCGCCGTCGCTCTCCGCTTGAGCATCGACCGCCGCCAGCCTATCCCCTCATCATCTACACAAAAGGGGAAAGAAAAATCCCGTTCCCATCCAGGCCGCCGCCGCCGCTTCTGATCTGATCTGCGTCCCCAGAAAAAGCTGTGATGGCGGGGACCTCCGGAGCCCAGATCTCCTTCCGGCGGGCGGCTAACCGACCGAGGTCCCTTCCCGATCCGCGCCGCCCCTGCTCTTCCTCCAACATCCGACTTCATACCCAATCAGCTGGAGCCAAGCGAAAATACTCGGTCGCCTGCTTCGAGGCTCAGATGAATTGCAGTTGGGGGACCAAGCGCGTGCGCTCCGCGCTCGGTGGTGGTGGTGGTGGTGGTAAGGCGGCCCTTTCCAGCCAATCCCTGCAACCACTCCGTCCTAATAACAGGTGCGTGCGTCTTGTTCGTTTTCGTCGACAACCCTCTTGGGGTGCCAAGCGCTCGCGCTCCGGGCTCGGCGGCGGCGGTAAGCCCGCACTTTCCGTGCGGTCCCTACCCCGTCCTAGTAACAGGTGCGTGCTTCTTTGCCGTCAAGATTACACTTTTGATTCCATTCCTTTTCGTTTCTCCAATTTTCATTTGATTCCTTGTTCCAGTGGCAGCACCGGCGGCCTGAGTGCTGAGCTTGTCCTCGCCAGCAACGTGGATTCCATCCCAGACTCGGCGAACATCGGGGACGGGCCGGCCGGCCTGATTGCCGAGCTTGCCCTCACCAGCGACGTGGATCCCATCCCAGACTCGGCGAACATCGGAAATGGGCCAGCCGGCCTGATTGCCGAGCTTGCCCTCGCCAGCGACGTGGATCCCATCCCTGACTGGGCGAACATCGGGGACGGGCCAGCCGGCCTGATTGCCGAGCTTGCCCTCGCCAGCGACGTGGCCGACTATATCCGCTTCCGCGCCGTGTGCCAGCCGTGGCGGCGGTGCTCGCCAGACCCGTGTGCCGGCGGTCTGGACGGCCGCTTCCTCCCCCGCAAGTGGATCATGCTTGACAAGGCGCTTGCCGGGCCACGCCGCCATCGCTTCCTCAACGTGTCTACAGGCGAGTGCATACGTATGGACCTCCCGGAGCTCGCGGAGCACACGTTGCTCTCGCTCACCCCAGAAGGCCTCCTCCTCCTGCTCCTCGAGACCACCCTGGTCGTCCGCCTGCTTAACCCACTCACGCGGCAGCTCACCAACCTTCCGCCGATGACCGCGCTCCTGAGACCAGGGCAGCATCGGTCCAGGCAATCTGGCTTCAAGATAGGGAAAACATTCAGTGTGTCTGGCGTGGGTCTTGTTGCCGACGCCTCCATGGTGGCAGTCAATTTCTTTGATCCCAGGGGGCTTTTTGTCGCTAAGCCCGGCGATGAGAGTTGGACCATGGTCGACACAATGGTCGACAAGGAATACATAAATTCGGGTTTGCCTTTTGCGGGGCGCTTCTACTGCGCCAACTACAGGGGCGTCATGGTGCTGACGATCGGCTCGGATCAGCAGCCGCCCCGGCTCCAGTTGGTCGCTGACCGGAGCGACTCATTTTATTTCTCCCTGATGGCGCACAGCCTTCACCTGGTGGACAACGGCGGGGAGTTGATGCTGGTGCACCGAGCGCTAAGCCGGGACAGTAGGAGGTATGATGCTTACAGAGTGGATTTGGAAGCTGGGGTCCTGACCCCAGCCAAGGGCTTCAACGGGCGCGCCGTGTTCATGGGCATGTGCCGCTCAATTTCTGTATCGGCTGAGGCTGCTTACCCCTCTCTCGCTGCTGATACCATCTACCTGGGACACGATTGTGATGACAAGATTCAGGGGTACAATATCGCGGATGGAAGCAGATGCAGTCTGATTGAGGCAGTATGTCCGCATAGTGTTGTGGATTGTCTCCGCCGTTCCATCCAGGGAGTCGGCAAGCGACTTGCTTGAGCCTCAGCACGAATGATGGGTGTTTGACGAATGACGGGTGTTGCTCTTTGCTATGATTCTGTTTCTGTGGTGGGTGTAGTGTTTGCCGTGATTCTGGTCTTGGCCTACTGCTGGGTGTGGTGTCTGCTGTGATTCTGGTCCTGGTCTTATGCGTCAGTTACTGTGTATCAGACAGCATTAAGATATGTACCTCAAATAATGTAAACGCTTATTAAACAAAAATTGTTACTGGTTTCCTGTTTCTGATATTTACATATGATGTGGCAGTATACTGATGAAACAAAATTATCTGCATCTTCCTACTTTTTACATCCTTGATGTTTTGTATAGGCCGCTGGCCCTTCTCCTTCCATGATAATATACTCCCTCCGTTTTCTAAATATAAAACCTTTTATAGAGATTTCAATACGGACTACATACGGATGTATGTAGACGTATTTTAGAGTGTAGATTCACGTATTTTGCTCCGTATGTAGTCTGCATTGGTGGAATCTCTAAAAAGGGTTATATTTAGGAACAGAGTGAGTACCTCTAGTCTGACCTTTGTACATTCCTTCCATGATATATATTGTAAGTTTTAAATCTAATTTTTGGTACCATTACATGACTCACCACAGTCATACGAAGTGCACCAGTAAATCTTTTCCTTATAAGTGGATCAATAAAAAGTAGAATGAAGGTTTTCATTTAACATCTGTGTAAGGGTACTGCTGGGAATTTTCATGTTGAGGAACGCGGGCTGCTCTTACCAGGGCAAACACACGCCCTTCATATCTTATTTGCGATATATAAATCATCTGGAACAAATCATTTTCATGAATTTGGTCAAGTTCCTTGTATACTGTATAATTTGACAGCATATGTCCTCACAAAAGAGAGGGAAAAAAAATATTGCATATGTCTCTGCATTTCAGTTCCATACTTTTGAGCTCAGCAAACTAAACTTGTTTCAAACATTTAGATGGCTCACATCAGACAACCAGTAACTTGAGCATTACATGCATAAGCTGCTGGAGGAATGCCTTCAGCTAACCACAGAGAACTGGTGCTGTGCACAGCTTCCTTTGTAGCAAAAGATCAGTAGTTGTGTAGACTTATGCCAAGCCTGAATTTTTGTACATAGAAAGTTAGTGTGCTAAGGTGGCCAGTGTGGTGTCGCCACATGATCACTGACGGAACTGAATCTGTCTCGCAACCTGCAGGTTGTTGATGACCAGCTTGCTTTTATCTTGAGCATGCCAAAGAGGATGTTACTATTTATTTTATTTACTCAGAAAAAATAGGGCGCTATCCAACTCCTGTCTTCTATAACATGATAATGATCAAAAGTTTAGCTGTAAATCCTGTTAGACCAAGGACTCAATCCATTGATCAAGACTGTCAATATATTTTGACTTTGTTGTTTGTTCTGATCCTGACCAGCAGAGGATAATGCTTCAACTTGAATTTTGAGGAGTTCACTCCAGGATTAAGTATCTTAACTCATTATGATCTTTTCATTGATCTATCATTCCAAATTTCAGGTAATGGACCTGCTTGGTCCTAGCCTCTGGGATGTTTGGCATTCACTGGGACAGGAGTAAGTATCTTATCAATCTTTTCACTCCATCTGCTTTGTTCTCCTTTCTCCTTGCTGAAAGTATCAACACCCCCGACAGTGACAGGATGTCATTGCGAATGGTTGCTTGTATTGCCTTTGAGGCCATATTAATTCTTGCGAAGATTCGCTCCAAAGGTTACTTTCAAGCTATTTGATGTTCTTGAGATGCATTTCCCGTTCTTTTTTATTCCTCAATCTTAACAGTTGCTGCTCTTCCTATTATTGCCAGCTTTGTACATGGTGATGTCAAACCTGAAACCTTTTTGCTTGGTCAGCCTGGATCCGCTCAAGAAAAGAAGCTTTTTCTCATTAATTTTGTTACTTTACTTATTGATGGCTTATTACTGCAGGGAGGTAATTCTTGTTTGTAAGAAGAAAATGGAGACTTCTCCAGAGATGTTAGGTAGACTCTGTCCAGCTCCATTCAAGCATTTTCATGAGACTGTCACTTGAATGAAATTTAACGAAGAACCAAAGTACCAAATGTTAACGTATAATGTGCTGCCTAGTCTCTTCCATCAGATCGGTCTTTTGGTTGCATTGGCTAGAGCATGCACTTCTACATGGTAATCAGAGCCTAACTCTTCCATTCATCTAGCCCTAGCCTTCCATCGCACAAGCTTCCGCCATGGCATCCTCCAGCTCATCCAACTCCACCCTCACCGGCCAAATTACCGAGAAGCTCACCCACACAAACTTCATCCTCTGGCGCACGCAGATCACGCCGCAGCTCAGAGGCGCGGGCGTCTATGGCTACGTTGACGGCAGCACGCCGGAACCAGCCAAGACCGTCGTCACCAAGGACAAGGACGGGAAGGAGACGGCCGCACCAAACCCCCTTCATCCGATCTGGTTCCGGGAAGATCAGCAGGTACTTGGTTATCTTCTGAACAATCTTTCCAAGGAGGTACTCGTGCAGGTGACCTCGATCTGCCGTGCACACGAGCTCCGGACAGTGCTGGCGAACATGTTTTCGTCCTAGTCGTTGTCTCGCATCAACAACATCCGCGTCGCCCTTGCGAACGCACAGAAGGGAAACCAGTCCGTTGTGGCCTTCTTCGCGCACATGCGCTCCCTCGCCGACGAGCTTGCTGCTGCAGGCAAGCCACTCGACGACGACGAGCTCATCTCCTACATCACGGCCGGCCTCGACATGGAGTATCAACCCCTCGTCTCCGCCCTCGACGCCCGCACTCAGCCGATCACCCTTGATGAATTGTATGCTCAGATGAGCAACTTTGATCAAAGGGTGGCGCTGTTCCAGGGCACAAACTCTGGTGGTGGCGGCTTCAAGTCTTCTGCTAACGCTGCTATGCGTGGCCGAGGTGGTGGCTCACGCTACCGCGGGCCAACCCGCGGCAAGGGAAACAACAGCAACAACACCCGCGACGACTGCGGTGACCGCGGCGACTCTTGCGGCAGTGGTGGCCGGCCCTCCTACACCAACAACAGGGGCGGCCGCCGCAACTCCTCCAACAAGCGCCCCTATGCCGTACGATGCCAGATCTATGGCAAACCCGGCCACACAGCAAAAGACTGTTGGTACAGGTTTGATGATGACGGTGACTCGTCCTCGGATGAGAAGGTGGCCGGGGCAGCTGATGGCTCATATGGAGTAGACACAAACTGGTATGTGGACATCGGTGCAACCAACCACATCACTGGTGAACTCGAGAAGGTGACCATGCGTGAGAAATACCGCGGGAAAGACCGCATCCACACTGCCAGTGGAGAAGGTATGAAGATTCGTCACGTTGGTCACTCAATTATTAATACCCCTCATAGAAAAATTCACCTTCGAATTTTTTTGCATGTCCCTAGTGCTCATAAAAACCTTCTCTCCGTTCATCGTATTGCTATTGATAATCATGTCTTCCTTGAGTTTCACCCCTTCTATTTTTTGATCAAGGATCAGGCAACGAAGAAGGTGCTTTATCGAGGTGGATGCGTTCGCGGGCTCTATCCTTTGATTCCGGAGATTAGAAGGTTCAATAAAAAAGTTTTCAGTGCCACCAAGCTATCTTCAGCACGGTGGCACGATCGATTAGGGCATGCAGCTTTTCCTTTAGTTGAACGTTTGCTTAGGAAAAATAAACTCTCATATGTTGGAGAGCATAATGTCGAAACAATTTGTGATTCATGTCAGAAAGCTAAAAGTCATCAGTTGCCGTATTCATTTTCCACTAGTATTTCTACCAAACCTCTACAACTCATTTTTTCTGATGTTTGGGGACCTGCCCCCTCTTCTGTTGGTAGACATACATACTACGTGAGCTTCATTGATGATTTTAGCAAATTCTCCTGGATTTACCTTCTCAAGAAAAGATCCGACGTGTTTCAAGTCTTTCTCAACTTCCAAGCTCTCGTTGAACGAAAGTTTGACACCAAAATCATCGCCCTCCAATCTGATTGGGGAGGTGAATATGAGAAGCTAAACTCATTTTTCCAAAAACTTGGCATATCTCATCACGTGTCATGTCCGCATGCCCATCAACAGAATGGGTCTGCCGAGCGCAAACACAGGCACATCGTAGAAGTTGGCCTTGCTCTCTTGACAAGAGCATCCATGCCACTTAAGTTTTGGGACGAAGCGTTCCTTACGGCCGTTCATCTCATAAATATGTTGCCTAGTCGTGTCATTAATAATGATACACCCACCGAAAGACTCCTTCATACCAAACCTGACCACAACTCTCTTCGAGTATTTGGCTGCGCTTGTTGGCCCAATCTTAGACCATACAACAACCGCAAGCTCATGTATCGATCAAAACAGTGTGTCTTCATCGGATACAGTGCACAACATAAAGGAGTCAAGTGCCTTGATGTCTCCACCGGTCGCGTATACATCTCACGTGATGTTGTTTTTGATGAAACCAAATTCCCCTTTGCTGATCTTCATCCCAATGCCGGCGCACTCCTTAGGAAAGAAATTCTTCTCCTACCATCGCATCTTTCCGGTATTGATCATGGGGGAGAAAATAATTGTGATGATCATACGTTGACTAATCCTCATAACCCTGTGCATGAGTATGATGATGCAGATGCAGCAGCCGATGGTGAAGAAAACAGTGGAAAAATCGTTGAAAATGATGAAGAAATCAGCTTAAACAGGCAACATTTTATGTGTCAAAATCTGGGAGACATATCCTCCTCGGGATTGGAGCAGCAGCAGTTTGGCAGCGAATCCGCTCCGGGATCCGTGCGGCAGCAGGGCGGCGGCAGCTCAGAAACCGCGTCGCCTGCGCCTGCGCCCACCAGGAGTCGCGACAATGACTCCGACGCCGCCACGTGGTCGCCACCGACCGGTCCAGACACTCCATCGGGCCCGCGCCAATTTGGTCCCCTCACGCGGCAGGCCTAGAGCCGCTGGCCCGCGAGTGGGCCTCGCTGCTACGCGCGC